AAGAAGTCTTAATTATGTTAGATTTAGTTTACACGTGTAATGCTTTCATTGGATAGTTTGTTCGAGGTTGTTATCCTCACTAATTTATGTATAAGTAAATAGTTGTAACAGATTTGAGATTAATGAGATTCAGTTCTTCTCACTCATCAATTCCTCTTTCTCTCTCTAGAAATCGGTTGAGCTTGTTTCTTTACAATATATATTTAGCATTAGGATTTATGATTTAAGGTTAAGATTATGATTTAGGGTTAGGACATAGAGACCCCCTGTTCACTTATAAAATAATAAACAATAGCAAAAAAAAAAAAAAAGGAAAAAAAGAACTATGTTTTGTATAAAGAATGTAATAAAAATTAATTAAAAAGAGTTTATTAATATTTTTAAAATCTCACTTACACCTTTCGTGTTAATATGTAACAAAGAGAAATAATAGAAAATCACATAAAATGAAAAGAAACAATAGTTATAAAGAGATTTGTGCTTAAAAGAATAAAAAATTACAAAAAAAAAGAGAGCAGAAAATAGCTTACACAATAAAGAGAGCAATAAAATGCATCCTAGTAAGTATACACCAAAACAACCAGCAAAAAGAAAGTATAAACCAAAAACAATAAAAAGGTGATACGTGCATGTCTTTTAATAAGACAATCGATCAGTTAAAAAGGAATAAGAAAGAAGAAAACATTAGGTGTGTTTCGAATTGGTTCTAAATGATTTTGTTTTCAATAAAATGTAAAATTAAGGTGCGTGTTTGGAACCGTTTTTGAAAACGGTTGTCACATATTTCGAGAAGTAAAAAATGAAAATAAAAATGAAAACGAAACAACGTTTGTTTAGTAAATGTTTTGAAAATGAAAACGAAAACAGTGAGAATATTATAATATCAACAAATAGAAAACAATTGATAAGTACTAAAAAATGAAAACAAAAAAGTGAAAATAACTTTCAACTGTTTTCTAATTCTTTCACAAAAATTTCTTCACAAAAATCATTCTCACTGTTTTCGTTTTCATTTTTTTTTTCAAAATATTTATTAAACAAATATCATTTTGTTTTTATTTTCATTTTTGACTTCTCAAAATATATGAAAACCGTTTTTAAAAACGGTTTTAAACACGCACAAAAGTTGTAAAGAGAAAAAAAAAAAAAAAGCACTAATACGATGCGTTTTTTACAACCATAAACAAACAGTATATGGCTCTTTCAATATAGTTAGAAATTTTGGGGAAGAAAATAGTTGTCAACAGCAATTTCACAAAAGCTGAATTTTTTTTCAATTACTCCCATTCTTTCTCTTTTATAATTTGAGATTGAGTTACATGATACATCCTAAAAATAGGGTATTAGTAGCTTCTTTCATTTATTTTCATGGCACCACCATAGGTTTTACCAACCGACAAAAGTTGAAAATTTTTCAACGGTTCAAATTGTTTCTTTTTATCGTCCAACCAAAAATAGTAAAAAAAGAAGAGGATTATTTTTATAAATATTCTTTATGTATCATATTTTAAAATATCTCCTAATTTTACAAAACAGTTTAAAACACTTTAATATATAAAAAATAATTTAAAATACTCATTCATTTAAATACGTCTATAATTTTAAAAGATGCACTCACGTGACGTGTATTAAGAATTAATTAAAGCCACAAAATTCTAATTAAATATAAAAATGATTAAATATTAAAAAACTTTATTTCTAAATTAAGAATAATAACACCCTAAAAAAATTTCTTCTCCGTTCTCTCCGCCACCCACACGAACCCAGCCCAGCCCGCCGGCCAATCTTGCCGCCGCCTCGCACACTTTCACTCGCTGAAAACAGTCGCGGAGCTCTCTGTTTCAGTAGCGCCAGTTCTTGGATGATTACGAGTCCTTTTCGGTGTCGATTCGAGTCTGACCTTGATCTTCTCCAGCAATGACTTTGAATCCACGACCTTGCATAGGATTTCGAAGAAATGAAATTAGGGTTTGGTGAATAGTACAGAGAGAAGAAGAAGAAGGAGGAGAAGATTATGGTTTAGGAAAAAGGTGTTGAAATTGCTGAACTATTGTTTTGTATTTGAATCAGATAGAATCCGAAAAAATATTTTCCAATTTGGAAAGGAAACATAATTGATGACCGGAAGAAAAGAGAAAATATATAAATATATGTGTGCGTATGTAAGTAATTAGATAAGAGAGGGAGAGATAAAGGGGCGTTTGGGATATGAGAAAATAGGAGAAAAAAGGAGACAAATTATTATCAGAATGATACAGAAGGAGACGAGGAGAGAAGGCCCTTTTTTTGGTTTTTGGAGTTTTGAATTTTACTCTTCTCCTCTCTCTCACAGAAACGGAAAAAATAATTCATCCCATTGTATATTGTTCTTCTCTTATTTTAATTCTTCGTTGAAGGAAGTTGTTTGTAATGGAAAGTTGTTCGGTTGTCTTGATTTCTTTGGTACGAAATTGGCTGCTTTTTGTTGGGGAGTTTGGCGTAAGACACCATGGCTCAGTTTGGTATTGATTCTAAGAAAGGAAAACCGCTTATGGCTGAAGCTAAAGCTCATAAAACCGTTCGGTAAAAAGTAGAAAAATAGATTTTTAAACAATTTACAAACAATCTGTAGCTAAAAAGTAGAATCAGCCTCTTCCAACTTATCTGGGAATTAGTAAGCAATATTAATGAAAGTTTCTTATTTTCAAATTTACTCCCAATGAAATCAGAAAATAACTATCTTGTCAATCACATATATCAACTCATCTCTCTTCTCTCCGTTCTCTCTCTTCTCTCCGCTCTCTCTCCGCCGCTCACTCTCCTCTTGCACCGTGCTCAGCACTCCTTTCTCCGTTTACCGCTCTCTTTCAAGAACTTTGCCCTCTTTTCAAGCGTCTTTCCCTTCCTCAACCTTCCCAGACAACTTTCTTTCTCTTCTCTCTTTCCTTTTTGTTTTTCAGTTAGAATTAAAATTCTTTTGTTGTTGTTTTTGTGTTTGGTTCCCGAGAATCCGTGGGAAAATGATGAAAAGTTGGCGTCTTGGGTGTTGGGATGGAAGTTTAATTCCCGATCTAATTTTATTTGGATGTGAATTTCGCAGAAACCGAACTTATTGTTACCTTTGTGTTTGAAGATATCCGTTTTAGGATGAGAGAATTGTGCTATTGGTGTTCTAATTCCATTGATTCAATAAAGTTTTTGAGGTCTTTTCCAGAAATAGTGTGTATTGTTCTTTGTATTTTGCTGAATTGTTCTTGTATCTGGATTGTTCTTGTATTTGGATTGCTCGTATTACAGCTGGATGAAGTACGAAATTAAATTGCGGCAAGTTTAATGAACATGACTTAATTCTTTTCATGTCTCTACTAGTTTTTGAACATGAAATGTACATTTTTGTTTTATATGTTGATTACTCACTATTACTCCTTTTAGTTGTAACTATATTGTGAATGAAGAAATGAAAAAAAAAAAAGAATTAATTATCATAAATTTATTGCTAGAAAATTAAGAATCATAGCATTATGTTTTTTTTTTTTTAAAGTTTGACAAGTATTTCTAAATACAAAAAATAATTATATATATATATTTTTTTTCATATCATGTCTATTTTAATCATTTTACATACCCACAGCAATTCAACCTTAAAATTTACCAAACACTATTACACTGATTTTAGATCCAGCACAGCTAGAATAGTCATAATTTACCAAACACTCAGCTGCTTCTTGTAACAGCTGCTTCTTCCTTCAGCACAGCTAAAAGCAATTTTTTTAAAAATCCACAGCACTACCAAACTAAGCCCATATTCTCGTTTATTTCATCGATTCGAGCTTAGAATTTGAGTTTTTTTATAATAAAAAATTCTCAAAAATAATTATATTTAATAAAAAAATCTCACATAAAATCACATCTCAACTCAAATTAAAAACTCAAATCAACGAATGAGTCTTAAAAATATAAGGCTGTCATGGATGAAGAAGATGAAGAGAATTTTTTTCATAATTTTATTTTATTTAATATTTATAATAATTGATTTTTGTTAGTTAATATCTTTCACTAACTTCTAATACTCATTTTTATTATCCCAATGCATTTTCCATCCAAGTGATACACAGAAGTGAATGAAAAAGATAACTTGATCCGTTTTTAAAAGATTAGAGGGTGTTTTAAAGTGTTTTATAAAATCTAAGAATTTTAAAATAAGATACACACTTCGAGAAATATTTATGAAAATAATCCGAGAGAAGACATGGCAGTGTAAATACGTGATCTGCATTTCAAGACACTTTGGGCCCGTTTAGTTCGCTGATTCGCTGATTCGAGTTTTTAATTTGAGTTAAGATGTGATGTTATGTGAGAGCTTTTTACTGTAGTAAAAAAGTTAAATGTGACTAATTCTGAGAGCTTTTTACTGTAGAAAAACTCGAATTCTAAACTCGAATTGGCGAAATGAACGGGGCCAAAATACATGGCTATGTTCACTTTGCCAGCTTACATGGACAGCACAGATAACCGTACTGTACTAGCCAACACTGCCAAGCCATTTTCGCACACATTTTGGTCAGATAATTTTCCAGTCAAAATTCTACAAGCATTGGAATATTCATTTTTGGTATCATGCGAATTAAGGGAGTTCACGGATTGAGTTTTACAAATCAAGACTGAATCCGTAAACCAACCCGACACCTTCGGATGTGATTTTTTCAGTCCGTTACCCATCCATAAGCCCCCCCAACCCAACCAAGCCTAACTCATACATATCAATAATGAAGCGTCATTAAACAAACAAAAGAACAACATGTTCATCAGAAAAGCAAACACTGTTTTGTAACCGGATCAGGAGAACAGGAAGAACAAAGCAATCTGTACATAAATAAGTGATCGGGGGACCTTCGCTGCCAACACACCGACCACTAGGGACAGTAATAGTAAGAAATTGCCACCATGCTATATTTCAACTCAATTTGCTTTAGTTTATAATAATAATAATAATGATAATGATAATAATAATAGCGAAGCTATTTATCACCAATATTGATAATCACGACTTATATATATATATATATATACAAGTGAAGGTCCCATATATCCACATCCTATTAGTGTCATGCCACTTTCAGTTTTCACATGTTGGTCATGATTCTTCCACAAACACTAAATAACTACATTTGTGGTTCCCATTGACTCAATTGATATCCATTACGGTATGTACAAGAGAGTGGAAGCGTGAGAAAAGATAAATAATGGGTAATTGAAAATAAAGCAAGACAAGAGAGTACGACAGAAGCATATTTACAAAATGATAAGATCAACCAGTGTGGAACACTTGATCACTTCTTTGTCATCAGAACAGAACCTTCCTTGCTATAGCAGCTTTACTCTGGATAAGATTGCCTAGCTTTTAGTATACATAGTACACTTTTTTTTTTTATTTCATTTTTCATTTGTGCGAGATTTTGTGAACAAAAGAATCTAGTTTTACCTGTGGGACGGGTTAGGCGGTTGCTTTTGCTGGAGAAACTAGGATAATCAGCTAAGCATGGTTGGATGCCCAGTCTGAAGCATCCTCTTGAACACGTCCATCCCAAATGCAGAATCTGATGAACTGATCAATAGCATAAATATATTAACTCTCTAGCTATGAGATTCTTCGAAATTTAATGGACATAACTCATCAGTATGAAGAGGATGAGAAACGGAGGGCAATCACTCAAGCTTATCTGCCCATAAAACATGATTCCAGCAAAAGAAGCTACAACAAATATCTAAAGTTACAGAAACATGCCTCATCTCTGTAATAAACAAACCCTAGAATAAAAAAAAAAAACGTGTTGATCTAGAGTTTCTACTAGAAACACAAGGTTAACAATGATGATTAAAAGTCAAATTAAAACCCAAAAAAGTGGTGCACGAAATGATAACTAAACATCCGTTAGGAAATATTTCTTCTGTGATGTTTCTGTGTGGTAACATAAAATTCATCCCAATCAAACTCACTTTATCATATATCAAGAATCATAAGCATACTACATTAAACCAAAAAAAAAAAAAAAGGAGAGAGAGAGAGAGAGAATCACGAGCATAAAAAAAGAAACAAATAATTGGAGTCGAGAGAAAAAGATAAGTCACCTTGGAATAGTAATTTCGTAAGGATAAGAGACTACACCCTCGCGATTTGGTATGGGGGGAACATGATCCTTTTTCTCATTGACAAATTTTATTATTTGAAACAAAACATCACGAAGAGATGCTTCAAGAGCTGCCCGTCGAGCGCTGCTTTCCTCCATGGAACTCTCTATGATCATAGCTCCAACAAGAAAGAAAATTCAGTTTAGCATCCCTGAAAATGAAACTGTAGAGTTCTTAATTCAAAGCAATAATAATTTTACCTCCGGGGTCCACTACAACTTTGGAACGGTGCGACTTGCCAGAATGTGTCCTTGGGAGTTGGGACACATTCAAATTAATATACCACTGTTCCCAGTACAGGCGTTCTATTTTGTGAGTGAACAAAAAGGCTTGCTTGTTTTTCACTTCATAAAAGGACAAACATATCTGCACCGTGTATACCAACGTTACTAGCAAAGTATTTCACACATAATGTGTGTGTGTGTAACGCAAAATTTAACGTCATTACAGAACCTTTTTAGATAAGAACGGAACAACTGATCCCAAAGTCGTGTGTTTATCACAATGACTCTGGGATTCTGCATCAGAATTAGATATTTTACAATAAAGAATAATGAAACGTGAATAAGAAGTGATTATATAGCATATTGAAGAAGTGATAATTCCTACACCATGGAGAATAAAAAGAAAACATTTGCTCCCAAAATTTCTCAGAGAACGTAGATGCTATTCTAGCAAGTACAATTCAAAAGTTAATGTTGACAAGCCTATAGCATAACCCATGTGTTTCAAGTTTCTCAATAGTTATTTCCATATCCAAAAGTTAATCCACGAACTAAATTATGTTCATTGACGCCACCAACAAACAACAAACCTGGCTCTTTTTGTTAGGGTGTTTCTCTACCCAACTAATGAATTGCTCTATCTTCTCATCAATTTTCTTCTCAATTTCCAAATCTCCACATTGAACCTGGGACAACAACAAACGATAAAAAGAAGAAGACTTAAAAACCAATCCTGGCATGAACAAATGTGGCCTTCATCAACAACGTATAACATCCAAACAATTACAAATATTTTGATAGGAAAATAATGAAGCTTTATTATTCCAGATTTCAGTAGTATGCCGCCTAATAGTAACAAGCTTAAACATAAATAGTGGTTGCAAAATTTCAATTGGAAATTAAAGTAAGACATTGTTTGGTCAGACATAGAACGTTCACAACTTTTTCCAGAAAGAAATATGCACAGAAATCATTAATCAAATATATACTTATATAGGGAAGTGGTTAACATATACTGAAGAAACAATTGTTAACATATTTAAACTGCTTGTAATGATGAAAAAGGTAAGATTCATCCAACTGACGACAAGCAATCTAATGAAGGAAATGCAATTACAGAATTACTTACATATGTAATTTCAAAAAGTTCCAAATCAACATCTTTGGGTCGCACAAGACCTAAAGCCCGATGAAACAAAATTGTATGTAGGATGCCTGCAGTCAATTTCAGGATACAGTCAGTAGAGGCGAAACAAATGAAAGGCACTAATTTTTTGTGTACATCTAAGTCTTACTAAACAAAGAAAATGCAAAAAAAGAATGATTAGGAAAACAAGTACTATTTACATTGCATGACACTTTGATATACTGTTCCATCATATAAACATAACAGCTCGGACTTCAAAAAGTATAACTAGCATTATGGAAAATAAGATCAACCACCATTGCTGAATTCCAACAATCCCAACTATACAGATTCACTGTTAAACTTGCCATTTTTGACAATCAAAAGAAAGAAATAGAAAATCATGCGTGCATATATTAGCAGTGAAATATAAAATGCCATCATCGAAACATGCATCTGCCTTTTTTTTTTGACTGGTCTGAATGGTTACTTAGAACAATAATGGAAACCTGAAATTTCCCCAGCACCCAAACTTACCCAAATCTTTTTGTTTGTTTATTTGTTTTTAAGCATAAAAACACCTCAAAACCTCTGCATTCGAATAAAAGGTTGTGAAGATATATCTATGAGTTCTTCATTTAACTTCGACTATACTTTGAAGGAAAAATGGGGGTGGCACCCATACTTTGAGGATCATTCTCAATAACATTTTTCCACAAATTTGGAAAATTTGAAAATCAACAAACAAATAGAAACTTGGAAAAAGTTCATATAAAATGATACTTTAAAACGGATTCATATTCAACGTTACCACGTAATATTCCAATCTAGCACTAAGGAACAGAAATAACTAAACATTATGATACTCAATCTCCAGAGACATTCCACAAAACCTGCAACCATTATCACAAAAAGACCAAACACAGATCCATTAATCCTAATTCCCATCAAAAGTTGCTAAAAGATGTAAAATTTATCTCTATTTTTGTCCAATTTTTTGAACTAAACTCGTAAATACAATTATTTTACAGAAATTTTGATCAAGGTTTCAATTCAAAAATGGATTTCAATAGTAAATAATTACTAAATCAAAACCCAAAAAGCGACTAATGGAATTAACAAATAAATGGATCCGAAGAAAAAAATGGAAAGTTGACATACAGCGCAGAACTTCTCGTATCTCAAACTCCAAGTGCCCTACTTCCTGAAAACAAGTAAATTTTCGCAACTTCAGAATCATGAGACAAATTTAAATTCCTGATAACAATTCCAAGCTCAATGGATCCCTTTTTATTATTTGTGCCCAAAAATAAAGGAAAAACAAAAAAAAAATTTACCAATTCTTTGAGTTGGCAAACTTCGCAATTCATGTTTCGATGATGAATTCAACAGGATTTACAATCAATTCCAATAGGGCGACAAACCCTAGAATTTTTCCAGAGGGAGAAAAATTGGGGAAAATATTACTGAAGAGCGAAATCTGTTTCAGGGTTTAGCTTCGACTATAAGCTAACACGATTGATTAGCTTTGGCTTTCGTTTAATCCATCTTCTGATTTTGGAGACGACTCTTTGCTTTGTCCGTTTACATGATAATTAACGAAAATAGTAAAAAATAGACCAGAAAATTTTTAAAAAGTGTATAGGTCAATTTTTAGTTATAAAAATTAATAGATTATAATTTATTAAGTTATGATTTATAATTAAATAAATTATAGATAAATTTGTTAAGTTATAGTTTATAATCGGATAAGTTATGGATAAAAATAAACAATAACTTATCAAGTTATAATTTATAACTAGATAAATTATAAATAAAAATAATAATTTAACCTATTTATTAACTTATATAAATTATTAATCTTTTAATTTTAATTCATAATTAACATATTTCCTTCTTTCTCCTAATAATTAACATCTCTCAATTAGCAATTAATTACACGTTGCCCTTCTTAAATTGGGCCCAGTTTTGCGGTCATCGAACCAGTTCACAGGGTTCAGGGCCTTCAGCCAACCCAATAAGTGCTATGAGAGTAGAGAACAGGCCCAACCTGCCAACCTGAGCTACAATTTATGGAAGGTAACCATAATAAATACTCATTGAAGTGCATAAGTTAAGATTTTTATTTTTTACTCTTTATTTATAATATTTTTAATTAAATAATTATATTAATAAAATAATATTTATTAAAAATAAAATATAAAAATTCAGGCTCATACATTCTCAAAATAAATTCTATTTTTTCTTTATGGGAATCTACCACGCTTTCCACACGTGGATTGAAAGTCCACCTCCTAAAACTGTTGCAAAATATGACACGTTTTCATAACTTGAATTTTTGCACTGACCAAAATACCCATACACTAAATTTAGGCTCCGTTTAGTATGACGGTTCAAACAAAGATGATTCTGATTTTAGTTTTAGAATCAATCATAATTCATGATTTTGGGTCTAAATCATAGTTTTGAAATTAGTACCAGAATCAAGAATTTGAACCATTAAAAACTAAGAGGGAATGTAGTTTTAGAATCAGGGATGGTTTTGGTTTAAAATATCACATCAGGGTTCAAACCTTTAATTAAAACCATTCAAACTAAACGTTAATTTTGTTAAATCGAACTATAACCACTTTTTACTTTTTGTAACCAAACACTGATTTGAACTAGAACTATGATTCCAATTCTAGAATCCTCATTCCAAACGTCTCCTTAGGTTTTCTCCCTATCTTTCACTCTTCCTTTCACCTGCTCCATTTGAGTCGTCTCTCTATCTTCCAGTCATGACCGTATGTGACCTCCGCCCCTCCTGCTCTTGTCGCCGAAGTCATGCTTCAACTATAACCGATTTGAGCCATTGGCCTAAAGGTTCCCGCCTTAGCCCGAAGCTCTATTGAGTGCGAAGCTTCGACGGACTGAAGCTCCGTTGGTCTCCTCCATTGGAGTCGACAAAGAAAACGAGGTCTCGCCATGGAGGAGCTTGAGCTTTGCAGCGCTAATCTGACACCTTGTAGCGACGTGACGAAGAAGTTGGTGAGATCTTTGTCGTGGACCTAACATGGACGTGCAAGAAGGAAAGCACCTGAAGCTCACGGATCTGCGAGTGTCGCGATGATCCTTGAGACGCAATGATGGGTTCGACACGGACCCGAACACGGTGCGATGTTCCACGGGTGACAACAACGCACAATGAGAAGACGATGCAGTGTAGATGGCTAGATCTAACATTTTGTGATTCTTTTTATTTCTTGATGTTTGTGGATTTTTGGAAATGATTTTTGGAAATTTTTTAATATTATGAATTATTTAGCTTTTTCTAAAAGTGTTATGGCAATGGGACGACCATGGTGCCGCTGGTATTGGCAGTTATCGACTGTTATTGTGGAGGATACTAGTTGGTAACACAACTGGGTGCCAGTATCTAGATAGATACCGACGATTACTAGTTGGTTCATAACATCACCAGTGCCAAGAGTATTGGTGGATTTTGGTTGTATGGGTGGTTATTAGTCGATGACTAGGATCACGGTAGATTTTTTGTTTTTTTGCTTTTTATTTTTCTAGTAATTTGTAGATTTTGTAAATTTTTTGTGCTTTTACATGTATTATTATTTGTGATTAGTCTGAGATTTTAGGTATTCTGGCAACTACTGTTATCAATATTGACAGTTATCCGTCGAATACTGTCGAATATCTCAGTTAGATAGTGTTTTTGCTGCCGGATACGGACGGTTATTTCATATCTTAAGGGTATATTCAATATTCGAAATATAGTGTGATGATGGTTGTGGTATTTTCTGTAAAAATTTATGTCCTCTGACATATGTCAATACAAGCCTAAAACATGTGACAATTTTCTTTAAAGCCCCAGAAAATTAGGCACATACTATATAAATTGTAAAAAATAAGTCTCCATTTAAATCTTATGTTAGCAAATAACCAATCTATTAATGTATAGAAATTAATAAGCCTCTTTTAAAATTTTCATTTTTCAACTTTATCCTTGTTCAATTTCCTTTTTTTTTTTTTTTTTTTTTTACTTTTTCTCTTTGCTTAATCAGATCTACCATCAGAACCCAATTTCTGTTCTTTCGTAAATCTCAGATTTATTTTACATGGTAAAACAAGGATTTACCATCAGAACATAGATTTCTATTCGTAAATTTTAGATTTACACTAGAATTTATCATCAAAACACAATTTTTATTCCTTCATAAATCCTGAATTTACACGGTAAATTAAGAACTTTACCAATATGAGCTAAATTTTTCTTTTTAGTTTTGCTCGTAAATTTAAGATATATCTATTGGTTCTCAAATCGAATTCGTATGCGGAAGCGTGTACGTGCGGATCGTGTATAACAAAAATTTTCATAATATACTCATTAAATAATAGAAATTTATCGTGTATAACAAATGTCATCACTAAAAATCTTTTTTGACGCCAACAAATACCGCGTAAAAATTTGCTTACGTCATTCCTCTATTAGCGATGACTTGGGGCCCACTGTTCAATCTCAAAAGCCTCTTCAATATTTCTGACGGCAACATTTAGTCGTCGCTAAATGTCAACCTTTAGCGATAACAATTGTCGTCGCTAAAAATGTCATCACTAAACATTCTCTTTCTTGTAGTGTGATTGATTTTAACCAGATGTAATGTTTCACACTTATTTTCTTCGTGCTTATTCTGCATGCGCTTCGCATGCCATTGAAGTAAAGGGTCGTTAGCGTTCCATTACGTTGTAAATTTTTATACAAAACTTGTACATTTGGATGCCATTTGAATCGTTAAACATGTTAAAAATACATAATATTGATGAGATACTAGTACCCCATGCTTTATGACACGTTTTCTCTTTTGTACTATTGATTAGTGTATGGACATTGGGTCACAATCAATCTTAAGCATATATACAAAAGAAAACTGACCACATATACATGCCACAGTTTTGTGTTCCTGTATATAAATGTTGAATGTGATACAACTTCAGATCCCATTAACAAAAACAGTATCCCCAAGTGACAAACAAACATAAAATGACAAATTAGTCCGTTTTGAAAACGATATTTATATATGCCCTGAAAAAGTTATACATAACTATTAAAAACTCATTCAAAAATAAATATATATATATATATAGACACTAGCCACAATTATCATGTTGACAAAGTATTTTATTTATGTTAGGGAATAATCTGAATCATACTAATGCCCTTTGCATCAACAACTACTCCCACCCCTTACCCTAATTTGACTTCTCCACCCACAATCTCCCTAACAGGACAATAACACACCACAACACAAGTTTTATTCATCTCTAAACATTCTTGTCACGAGATACGGCCGTCAGGATTTTTGGGATTCGTTAGCAAACATGAAATATATATGAGGACGAGTTTTTAATAGTTACTTTTTTATTGATAGTTATCTCTATATATAAAAATTTAATGACGTGGTATGATAAAAATTTAGTTTTAATAATTATCATAAATTTTTTAGTTAACTATCTAATTTATTACAAACGTCGGATTAATATTACCCATTGTAGATAAATATTAAATTATTTATAAAAACTACACCCACACACACATATATATGAGTAAGTTTTCAATAGTTATGTTTCCATCTATGGTTACCTATTATATATAGAAATTTGATGATGTGACATGATAAGAATCTAATCTAATTAATTGTCATATATTTTTTTAGTCAACTACTTTTTTTGATTAACTATCCAATTTGTTATAACTGTATGATAAATATTACACATTTAAAGCAATGATAGTCACCAATAAATAAATATTAGAGTAACCATTAAAACTACTAGACTTGTATATGACAATTCTTCAAACGAATGAGTGATATCGTGTGGTTGTTCGCGTTGTTGCAACATAAACAAGTTACCTACTAATTACCTATCCTAGTATAGTACTACAATTCTCCTTCCTTTTCATTTCCCGCTCCGTTCATTTTGCACGTTTAAGTTGAGAGCTTAAGTTGAAAAGTAAATTTACATGAGAAAAAATGTTATAGCAGAAAAAGTTGAATTTAAATTTTTGTAAGAGAAAAAATTATAGCAAAAAATTTAAGTTATGATTTGAATGGTAAATCGAAAAAGTCCAGTTATCCAGATCCAGAGTTACAACATGACTTCAAAACTCAGTACAAACAAAGGTTAATTTTTATGTGATATTCAAGAATCTAAACACTACTTACTATTGATGTATTTCATTAAGGGTGGCAATTCGTATTAGTAGGTTGTGTTCGTATCAACCCGTTTATTAATCGTGTTAGAAAACATCAACTCAAGCACGACCTGTTTATTAAACGTGTCAAAAATGTCAACCTAAACACAACTCATTTATTAATCGTATTAATCGATTCAACCCATATAACCTCTTTAAATTAAAATATTAAATAAATAACTAATATAATAATGACATATTTAACACGGTCAAGAGAGGTTTAACATGTTTATTGGTCAATTTATTTTTTTCTTTAAGAAAAATAAATGAATTTTACCTATATTTATTAAAATTTACATTATTTGTATTTA